ACGGATTCAAGCCTAAGAATTTAAAATATTCCAAATTCTACAAACGACGCCGAACCACATCAAATCTAGTCCGAATGGCCTCAAAATTTACACACAGGTCACAAATGACAGTACGAACCTACAGACATTTTCGGAATTCCATTCCGAGCTCGATATCAAAATTTCCACTATCGGCCGAAATCGCCGAAAAATTAACTTTCGCCAATTCAAGCCTAAATCTACTACAGACCTCCAAAACACATTCCGGACGTGCTCTTAACCCCAAAATCACTCAACGGAGCTAACGGAGTCAACATAATTCTTTTCTGGATCCGTCTTCATACAGTTCCGACTACGGTCCAAACTCTAAGGCTTAAACTCACAACTAGGGACTAAGTGTCCCAAAACTCCCTGAATTCCATAACCAAACACTCCGGCAAATCCCAAAAGCAGAAACAAATATGGGAAAAGCAGATATTAGGGGATCGGGGCTCTAATTCTCAAAATGACCGGCCAGGTCGTTACACTGCAGCAGGCCGTATATGCTTTATATAGCACGTGAGTTGTTCGTGCGGATCCAGATATTGATACTATAGTACGTGAGTTTTTCGTGGAGTACGTGAGTTGTCCGTGTGGTTTATAACGCTTGGGCTGAAGGAGCCCCTCCGGAGTCTGCACACCCTATTGAGCGTGGTTGATATTATTAAGGGATGGATCTTTCCTGGACATGGATCTTGTCCGAAGCATTATATACCTGGAGACCGGGCTGGATTGGCCCTACTTGGTACTGAGTGACTGATGATCAGTTGATATGTATATTCTGGGATGGATCTTCCCTGGACCGGATTGGCCATATACAGTACCAAGTGATTGAGCATGATGAGTGAAATGTGTGAGAAAGTGAGATTGAGTACTCTCAGAGTGTGAGTACATGAGTTCATCTTTGAGATATATTGCATTGACATGCACACATGACATACATGCATAGAGATGTATTTTTTCTCATATTGTACGGTATCACGTCATTTATGACTTCTCATACATATTGACATATGGGCATAGTGATGCATTGGGTTTTCACTGGTTATCTGGAAAGAAAATGAAACATCTTTATTATTATTGAAGGGATTTTTGAAAAATTACTGATTTCAAATTTACTCATATTTTTGACAACTTTGGTAAACGATTTAGGTTTTCACTGACGTACTTGAAAGGTAGAACTATTTTCAGAATTCATGATTTTATTGGGCATTTTATCTCTGAGTTATTTAGGGTATTACTTATTTTATATTGTTATGAACTATTATTGGTTATGGAAGTTGGACTCTAACCTTGGTACGAGCTCGTCACTACTTTCAACCTAAGGTTAGGTTTGTTACTTATTGAGTACATGGGGTCGGTTGTACTCATACTACACTTCTGCACCTTACGTGCAGATATTGGCTGCTGATGTTGTTGCGTTCGTTGGAAGCTGGATCTGAAGATGTACCTGCGTTCCGGTTGTAGCTGCCTCTTGTTCATGGTAACCTTAGATTCATAAAACTCTATTTATGTACTTTTCAAATAGATGATGTATTACTTCATACCGGCTTTGTATACTCTATTCTTAGAAACTCATGATTTGTACTACCGGTTCTTAGGGAATGTATAAGATTAAGATTTTTCTTTACTTAAATTGCCTTAATAATTGATATTGGAATTGGATAGTTGATAATTGGCTTATCTAGCGGGTTGGGTTAGGTGTCATCACGACTAGTTGAATTTTGGGTCGTGACACCCCTAATCCTTTTTAAAAAGTTGGGGTAGATATTTTTGTTATGGGCTTCGGCCCTTTTGTCTTAAATTCCTAAACTTTTCCCTTTTTTTTGTTTTATTAGTTAGTTCTTTTTTTTCCTTTAAATTTAAATTATTTACTAAATATCTCATTTGTCCTCATTTAAAATATTGGGAGTATTACATTATTTGACCTTTTTAATTAATTAAAAATCACATTATTTCCTTATAGGATAATACTAGGAATGCAATAACTTTTTAATTGATAAAAATTATATAATGTTTTATGGACATAAAGTAAAAGTATTAAACGTCTTTTAATAGTTTCTAAACTTTTATTTCAATTTAAGTTCGCCTTAAAAACGAAAACTATTTCAACATGCACAATTTTTTGTTTTCCTAAATTTTACATTAACTTTTATAAGATGGACACTTACATATTATTTCTTTGGATATATTCTACTTATTTATTATTACGGGAGTTATACGTGCATTACACGTAAAATAAAGATTAATAGTCTATTTGACCAAGCTTCTTCAAGGTCAAAAGCACTTTTTTTTCCTTTTCAAACAAGAGTTGTTTGGCCAAGTTTTTAGAAGAAAAAAAAAAGTGATTTTGAGTAGAAGCAGAAATAGTTTTTGAGAAATAGAAAAATAATAACTTCTCACCAAAAGTACTTTTTTGAAAAACACTTTTGACAAAAAAATACTTCTCAAAATAAGTTAATTTTAGAAAACTTGGCCAAACAATGTATAAATATATTAAAAGTATTAGATGTGTCCAATGATGAACTCAAAGTTGGATTAGCTCCTTTGGGTGGATATTCATGCAACTCACGAGTAGATATAAGAGTTTTGAATTATCATTTGGAAAAAAATTAAGAATCATAATAAAAGAATAGCTAATCTTGTTTATGTCTTCTCAAATGAACTTGAGAATGCTTTTTGCAATTTATTTTTAATAAAAACTCTTAAATGTTCAAGGATTAATTGTTCTTGCTGAAACAATAAAGGAAGCATGATAACTTGTGAAATTAAATTGATAATATTTCAATAACAGAAATATTTTTAAGGTGAATATATCGAATGATGATTGAAAATTTCTATAAGACAATGTTTCTTCGTTTATTGAATTTAATATATCAGATCTAGCATTTATTAATTTCAAGAGCTTACAATTTATTTTATAACTGATCATCTTATTTTATAACTCAAACGTATTTTTAAAATAATACTTTATGTGATTTTTGAAAAAGTAATTCTCATTAAGATAAGTTGCGCGTTGCGCGTACATATAGACTAGTAATTATAAAAAGAGGAAATTTCTTTCTATAAAAGGTCATATCTTTTCGGTATAAAAGATCAAAATACACGGCTAATATAAAAAATTTATTTACACTGTCAAAATATAACTTAAAAGTACGTATACNATATATATTATATACTCCAACAAGGACTCTTGTCTATACTTTGCCCTTGTAGCTGTAGATCCGGCAATTGATTCATCAAATATTATACTCCATACAAAAAGATCTTCGGAATCATCCGTACAGCCAGCGCCGCCTTTAATTCCAACTGCTGTTGCATAGGAGATCGAACGTGATCGAAGTTTCCATGGATTCCAGGAGTAGTAGGGAATCAATCACGAGTAGTACCGTTCAGAATCTGCAGGGGCCTTCACCGCCGGCGACAAAGGCTTCGATCGAGGCACTGCCAATTGTTGAAATTGTACAAGAAGAAGAAAAGAGGACTGAATGTGCTATCTGTTTGCTGGAATTTCAAGTCGGTGGAAAAGCTAAAGAGATGCCATGTAAGCATCGTTATCACCCGAATTGTATTGACCCGTGGTTGCGGGTTCATGGATCCTGTCCAGTTTGTAGGTATGAGATGCCTGTGGAGAGACCGGAATTAGTTGAGCGTAGGATTGATCGGTTTTCTTTTGAATCTGGCTGGGATGAATTACCCAGAGAAATGGAAATTGACAGCTTCTTTTCTGATTATAATTGATCTGATTAGGAACCTGTCGATTATTAGAATAACTCTTACTATTTACTTTGTACTTATTAATTTGAGTTTTAAGTTGATTTTGTTTTGAATTCGATTGAAGTTCACTGGAGGTCTTCGAGCTGCATGATCCAAATTAAGTAGTAGTGCGATGTATGATTTGCAAATGAATATCTACATATATATATATATATATATATATATATATATATATATATATATATATATATATATATATATATATATATATATATATAATTGAGGGGCATTGGCGTGATGATGTGGCAAGCCTTATAGGCCAGGGATTGCTATATCTTCTTTCTCAAATTATTGGAGTTTTCTCCTATTTTTCCTGTTTACCTCATTAATTAACTAATAATATTAAAAAGGAATGTCTTTTACTTACTCCAAAACGTTGCTTCAAATCAAAGCCCAGGAGTAAAGACCTATCCCTTCCTCAACAACTCTCTTTTTTTAGCCTCTATACTCTTCCCAAATAGAAGGCCAATTCACAGCCATGGTTGCAGAATTTTAGTTTTGGGTTCGGAGCCGTAAATCAGCAATGCTTACCGCCGGTAAACCCATATAGTCTCTCTCACCAATCAAACATGAAGAATTTTGTACCTCAGATATTTCTCACAGAGGGAAATTGCTTCTCCTCAATTGATTTCTTCTCTATCTTGATTTCTTCTCCATCTTGGCCGCAATTGGAATTGAAGACCTAAGGTTTTGGTTTGAAACGCTAATGTGTTTAATTCTTTCACCCCTGTTGATTTATCTTGGAAGTTTCTGCTTTGGTAAAAGCAACAGGTTTTCTGCTCCTGAGAAAATCCGAGGAGATTTCACGACCTTGAAGGTCCCTTTTCTTCCTAATTTTTTTAACTCAATTTTGTTGTTGTTTATTTTCGGAACAATTTGAGATGGTGTCATTAATTCTTTAAATATTGAAATTCGAACGTGTGACATCTACCCAAATAGACAATACTTGATTGAAGTGTTGGTCAATCTTTTGAGGTTTAGATGGAAATTCAGTCATATTTTTTCAAAATGACGTTTCTCTTTTTATGGTAGAATATTTTGCTGTTATTATTGGTCTCAAATTTACTTGAAGCAGGTTGAGACTTGCGAGCAGATGCATCACAGCCCATCCTTGAAGATTTTCTTTGATCTTAATCCCAACAAGCAGATATATGAAAAGGTCTATGTGGATCATCGACTTAATATAATTAGGTAAAATCATTTTCACCCTTATTTTGGTTGACAACTTCTAACATAAACAAAATTTACTGTTAATTTTTCCTTCTTTGCAGGCGGACCCATTTAAATACCATGATATCATGGGCTATTTCATTCTTACCGAGAATATTTATGTCGGAAGCTTGTGGGTCCACATATAAAGTTGCTTTGAATTATTTATTTTACACTTGTACTTAAAATAATTGCTCAATGCATAGACAAATATTTGCACCATTTAGATGGCACAACAATTTGTAGCAGAAACTTTTGCTTGATGCCAAATCTGAATGTTCGTGATACTTAAGATGAGCATTAAGATGTTTTGGTCATCGTTGGGCTGAATTTGTAGTAGGTACAAAGTGCTTCTATTTGGTTTGAAGTTGGAAGAAAAGATAGTTTTCAATCAGCAACCATCTTTATCTATAACAAAGATTAGATATACTACAAGTTGTGAATTTCAGAATAAAGTATCGTGGCATAGTCTAATGGTTGGAGGCCTCATATTTATATGATATTTATTGAGGATTATATTTAGGTGTATTCTTATGCCGAAAATCGTTTTGTGCATTGAAATATAAATCAACATTTTTAAAATATCATTTCATGCACTATACTTTTTTTCCTATAATCAGAAGCTGATCATATTCTGCTGACTCTTTTTAAATAGGGAAGGAAAAGGATTGGAACGTCGGATGAGAGCTTTTTGGTGTTTCAGTTTTGCAGGTACACTATCTCAACCATAACATTGGCCCCTAACAGCTATACAACTGCCAAAGCATGATATTGATATGCCAGTTTACAAACTAAAATGCTCATCGCCTTGCCAATTATGCTTACTTCATGTCTTCGTGTGAGGTCTAAGAAGAAATGTTGTGGCACTTCTGTTAGACCAGGAAAACTATTTATCTTTAACCTCCTACTTTTGTCTTTTCCTCTCAATTATTTGGTTTTTGATCTTTCCCAGTTATTGTTTATTTGTTGTGCAATTTGACAGGGTTAATAAAAAATTGTAATTGCTGTCATTTTTTGAATGGTTATGAAAAATTGTATTTGTTGTTCCCAAAGAGATGTAATTGCAGTCAATAACTCATTACAATCAATAGACTTCTCATTTTATAGTGCAGATTATATCACTATTAATCAAGAGAAGAAAATATGTCTAGAGAAGAAGGACCTCTCTCTATAGAGTGGAGAAAACTGGAGCACAAATCTTTCAAAGAAGCGTTGAATGGTCAGCTTTACAGCGGAGTAAAAACTGCTGGAGGAAGGAATCAGATAGAGAACCTTGGTTTTCCCTGTCGAGTGAACATGTCCTACAACAACAACCCAGTATAATCCCACTAGTGGAGTCTGGGGAGGGTAGTGTGTACGCAGACTTTACCCCTATCCTGGGGTAGAGAGGTTGTTTCCAATAGACCCTCGGCATCCTTCTCTCCAAGAACCCCCACCTTGCTCTTGGGGTGACTCGAACTCACAACCTCTTGGTTGGAAGTGGAGGGTGCTGACCATCAGAGCAACTCACCTTGTCGTAAAAAGATATTCTTGAAGACATGTGAAGTAGGTGGCTATATCATGTTTCATAATCAATAAAATTCTTCCACTAACTGGAATGGATGGAGACAAGGAGTACATCAATTTCCAGTACTATCGCAGACTATCTGAATTCCACTTCGACAAAACAGAGACAAATTGGAAAAACTAATTTGTTCAGCCAAAACATGAGGTGAGATGCTTTTAGTTCATCTTGAGTCATTAGCAATATGCACAAGAGAACAAGGACTGTTGCTCCTGCAACCTGCTTTCATTTTTGGGTGAGTGCACCAAAATCCATGTTTACCATTGAAACAAACTCAATCTACTTGAGTGAAAGGTACTGTGAGAAAAATGATAGATATGACTATCGAAGCTTATAATCATCATGCAGTCCAAACAAATGTATATCATTCTATTGCTATCAGAAAAAGCTCATAAACATCATGTAGTCCAAACAGATGTATATCATTCTTTTTTCTAATAAGTGAATGTATATCATTCTTTGACTAACACTCCCAAAATAATATGCATGCAACTTTAATGATTTCTGTTTATAATAAATATTAATTTCATTGGGCAAAAGGTGAATTGTTATGTTGCTCTTGTATTAGTTGCAAATGCATTACCTCCAGTTGGTGTCATATAAAAAAAAAATCTAGAGATCATGCCATCTTACAGACCCATCTAAAGTACTAAGAATCATCTATGGTTGCACGTGATGCTTCAGAGTAGGAGGGCAAACGGGCGGGGCGGGTTGGATATGGTTCGGGTCGAAAACGGATAATGAAAAACGGATAAATTATCCGACCCGACCCATATTTAAAACGGATAAAAAACGGGTTAACCGACGGATAATATGGGTAACCATATTATCCATGGCTTCATGGATATGATCACTTTTGGGAGAATTCCTAGTCTCCCAAACTTGAGGAACCCCCAATTTGAGGCTTTACAAATGTAAAAGTTAAACACATTCGTTATCCATTTTCTAAATGGATAATATGATTCTTATCCATATTTGACCCATTTTTAAAAAGTTCATTATCCAACCCATTTTTTAATGGATAATATGGATGGTTAACTGTTTTCTTTTAACCATTTTGCCACTCTTACTTCAGAGTCTACTTCCTTAGTTGATCATGGTAAGTACTTTGGTTTTACTGCCTATTACTAACTTTGCACTTAAATTAGCACCATTTATTTTAATTTAGCAAGCTAATTTGTATTTGCTTCTAAAGGCCTGCCCTTCTTTAGATCATTGATTCATGGGTATATTGACATCCTTATGTCTAAAGTAAAGTATGGTCTAGATGAAGAAGTTTGGTGTATAAGAAATGTATCATGGTGTGGGAGTACGAAAAATATTACTAGGAGAGTTGGGATAGAATTCTATCCCTAACGTTGGAAATGAAGAAAAATAGGTTCTCTGTTGCTTGGCTGGCCTTTTTCCTCCATATAATAACATGAATTAAAGGTTTAACATTGATATAATTTGAATTGGTGAGATATGCTAAAGGGTTCTTGCAGAGATAATTGGACAGAACAAATATTTCAACGTACAACTCTATCACAACAAATGATTAATGGGAAAAGTAACACTAAATGCCAATGTGTATTTTTGAGTCATTTTGTATCTTTTCAGGCAAAGACGAGGCAAAAAAGACTTCATTTTGTATCTTTTCAGGCAAAGACGAGGCAAAAAAGTCTCGTCTTTTTAGCTTTTCCTCTAACATAATGGCATACAAAGATACTTAAGACAGATTACTAGAATCCACCATATTTTGAGTTTTAGAGCTGTGAATCAAGCAGTTCAGTTCAACTATATCCGCATTACTTCCCTCATTTAGAAAAATAAAGCAGGTTATGAATCTGTTTAGATTCGTCTGATCAATCCCTCATTTCTTTCCCCTGCTCCGAACAGAATAAAAATTCAGGGAGCAAAATTTCAGTCAGTCTTTTCAAAAATATAATGGCTGTACTTTCAGGAATTAATGCTTACAATACCTCCTAACAATAACTTCAACAATTAAAGCGTAAATAAAAAATAAAAATAGAGCACATTGTTATTGCAACAGGCTTCTCATATATTAATGCCACCTAAGTGAATAAGGAAGCAGAAAATCATCGCGTAATCAAGATTATGCTTGAACTAGAAAGGCTGTCACAATCCATGGACCAAACAATGGTGAGATATTCACAAAACAAACATCTTTCTCATCCAAAGATTCAGCGTCACTTAATTCGAGAGAAGAACTAATGTAATCAGTCTTTTGGGTTGAGTTTGGATGAATCAAACTATGTAACGACCCGGTCGGTCATTTTGAGAGTAATAGCTCCGATCCCTTATTTACTGTTTCATCCGTACCTTTTTCTGCTTAGGTGACTTGCCGGGAGGTTTTGTTTTTGATTTCGGAGTGTTTTGAGACACTTAGTCCCTAAGTGAAGGTTTTAAGCCATAGAATTTGGACCGTAGTCGGAACATTGTGAAGATGACTCCGGAATGGAATTCCGTCGGTTCCGTTAGCTCCGTTAGGTGATTTTGGATTTAGGGGCGTGCCCGGATTGTGTTTTGGAGGTCCGTAGCTCATTTAGGCTTCAAATGGCGAAAGTCGAATTTTTGGAGTTTTGGACCGGTAGTGAAATTTTTGATATTGGGGTCGGTTTACGATTCTGGAAGTTGTAGTAGGTCCATAATATTGAATATGACTTGTGTGCAAAATTTGGGGTCAATCGGACGTGGTTTGGTTGGTTTCGGCATCAGTTGTCGAATTTGGAAGTTTCAAGTTCTTTAAGTTTAAATCAGAGGATGATTTGTGATTTTAGCGTTGTTTGATGTGGTTTGAGGATTCGACTAAGTTCGTATGGTGTTTTAGGACTTGTTGGTATGTTTGGTTAAGGTCCCGGGGGCCTCGGGTGAGTTTCAGATGGTTATCAGATCGTTTTTGGACTTGAAAGATTTTTCTGGTGCTGGTTCTGCTGTAATCGCATCTGAGCTGGGACCGTAGGTGCGCAAAGAATTTCCGCAGGCGCGCACGTGCAGGTGCAGCCCTTTATCGCAGGTGCGGAGGTAGAATGGGGGGTAAGTGATTTGTGCAGATGCGCACATTTTCCACACAAGCGCACCCGCAGGTGCGAGCCCAGGCTCCGCGGGTGCAGAAATACCTGGGCAATGGTTAAAACCGAAGGGCTTCGCGATTTTTATCATTTTGGACTTTGCAAACTCGGATTAGGGCGATTTTTGAGAGCATTTTCGAGAGATTTCTTGAGGTAAGTTCCTTGTGCTTATTTTGATCAATAATCTTGCTTCCCCATTTATTTTTCCACCTACAACAACAACAAAAATAACAATCCAGTATAATCCCACTAGTGGGGTCTGGGGAAAGTAGTGTGTACGCAGACCTTACCCCTACCCTGGGGTAGAGAGGCTGTTTCCGATAGACCCCCGACTTCCTCCCTCCAAGAATTCCCCACCTTGCTCTTGGGGTGACTCGAACTCACAATCCACTCTATTTTTCCACCTAGTTAGTGTGTATTTAAGGTAGAATTTGGGAAATGAGACTAGGGATTTGAAAAGTTTGAATTGTGGATTTGAAGGACCTTTTGGTGTCGGATTTTAGTAAATTTGATATGGTTAGACTCGTGAGTGAATGGGCTTTCGGATTTTGTGACTTTTACCCGATTTCGAGACGTGGGTTCAGGTCAACTTTTTAGGGCGAATTTCGGAATTTTTGTTAAAGTATTGATTTAATTAATTAGATGAGTCTATTATGGTTGTATTTATGATATGTAATTGCTTTTGACTAGATTTGGGCCATTCGGAGCCGGATATTCGTGGGAAAGGCATTCTTACCGACTGATTGAGCTTGGTTCGAGGTAAATGGCTTGCCTAACCTTGTGTGGGGGAACTCCCCATAAGATTTGTACTATTTTTGATATATGAGTGCCGTGTACCTGAGGTGACGAATACATACACGGGCTAATTGTGTAAAAACCCGATTTTCTACTAAGTAATAACCTGATTTCTTTCTTATTTGAGTTTCATCAGCATGTGTAGTATCCTGCTAGATTAGAATAGCATGCCTACTTGCCTTAACCGTTTACTTGAACTACGTGCATCATGTTTAGTGAATTTACCTGTCTTTCCTTAACTAGTACTTTGGTTGAACTGTAGAATATCGTGCCGTAACTATTGAATTATATTATTTTCGCTGCATATTTACTTTGGGACTACGGAACGGTATTCCGGGAGATCCCCCTGTACTGCATATTTACTTTGGGACTACGGAACGGTATTCTGGGAGATCCCCATGTACTGCACATTTATGTTTGGGACTATGAGACGGTATCTCGAGAGATCCCCTGTTGTGTTTCTGTGTACTGAGCTGTTACCTTCTATGATTTCATTGTTGTTAAATTTCAGCCTTTATTTTATTGCGGTATTACATTCTATCTTGTTTTATTATATATTTACCAGTAGGGCCCTGACCTGACTTCGTCACTACTCGACCGAGGTTAGGCTTGGCACTTACTGGTACAGATTGTGGTGTACTCATGCTATTCTTTGCACATGTTTTTCGCGTGCAGATCCAGATACTCCTTATCAGCTGCACTATCAGTGAGCCGGGACAGCTTTGGAGACTTCAAGGTATATCTGCCGCGTCCGCAGACCTCGGAGTCCCCTTCTACTCTTTCTCATGTCCATTATCTTCTATATTTTTCCTTTGTTAGACTCTGATGTATAGAGACACTAGATTTTCCTTCTGTAGTTTGTGATTCACGATGTTCCGGGTTTTGGGATTGTTGTGTATTTTTGAATAGTTGGTTAAATTTATGTTTTTATTTCATTATTCCGCAAAAAGGTTAGGCTTACCTAGTTGTAGAGACTAGGTGCCGTCACGACGTCACATGGAGGAGAAATTGGGTCGTGACAACTTGGTATCAGAGCTCTAGGTTCATAGGTGTCATGAGCCACAAGCCGGTTTATTAGAGTCTCACGGATCGGTACGAAGACGTCTGTACTTATCTTCGGGAGGCTATGGAACTGTTAGGAAAATTTCACTACTTTAATTCCTTGTCGTGCGAAAATTGTTGACTTCAAAAATTCTAAACTTATGTATTCTATTCTCTCACAGATGGTGAGGACACGTACAAGTGAATCTGATGACCAGGCACCCGCTCCCCCCTGCTAGAGCCGTGAGAGGTCGGGGCCGGGGTAGAAGCCGAGGACGTACATGTGGTGTATCCAGGGCACCCGCACGAGCTGCTATAGAGGAGCCCCTAGTAGCTCCAGCTGGAGGGCAGACACCTGAGGTACCTGTTCCTGCACCAGCCCTCCAGGAGACTCTAGCCCGGTTTCTGAGCATGTTCAGCACCTTAGCTCAGGATGGATTGATTCCACTTGCTCCTGCCACATCTCAGGCCGGGGGAGGAGCACAGACTCCCGTCGCCGGTACTCCAGAGCAGCGGGTTCAGGTCGACCAGATTCTAGAGATTGTACCAATGCGGCCGGT